AAGTGCCCCATGGTATCGTCGGCACGCGACGCATAGACGCGTAGGTGCACCGATCGGGCGAGGAATTGACGTACGACGACATCAATGACCTTGTCTCGGAGCTCGAGCCCGAGATGCTCGACGCCTTCCAAGAGGTATTGACGGTGGCGTATATCGCTCTCACAACACAATGTTGTAGGAGGTCGATGCCAAGTACCAGCGCTCGATCCTGCACGAAGACGACAACATTCTGGTGATGGACAGCTTCCTCGGTAGGCTCCGAGTCTCAATAAGGCAGCTTAGCCTATCTAGATGGCCTGCCACCGACGCGGTCGCTGCATTTTGTCGACCGCCTCGAGCTCGTCCAGAGCGAAGTCTTGCTGAACGAGGTAGTCCGTCACTCGCCTAATCGCACGCCAACGACAACGCATAGGACGGCTCTATTAACGACACGGAGCTCGCCCTCGACGTGCACAAGGGTCTCTGCGTCGGCCTGACGCTGCTGCCAACAGAGCGCCTGCACAACCTCCGCATTGGCCTGCTCGGCGCTGGCGCGGGGGTCCTTCCGACCTTTCTCAACAAGCACTTGCGCGGCGAGGTTCACATGGACGCCGTCGACCCTTCGCGCGCGATGCTCTCTGCAGGGTACATTTACTATCGCGAAACATCTACCATCCCTTCTTCACCCGTTGTGACGCCAGGCAGCACTTCTTCCATCTCGTGCCGTCCGACCGCCTCTCGCTGCATGAAGCGATGGGCGAAGCCTACGTCGCCCGCCAGCCCGACGCGTCCGTGGACTGGCTCATCCTTGATGTCGAAGACGGAAACGCTGCAGAGACGGAGCTGCGTGCACCGCCCGCGTCGTTTCTCACGCCGGCGTTCATAGCCGACGCCAGCCGCGTGCTCACGGCCGACGGCAGCATCGCGATCAACGTCATCTTTCCCAAGGCGTCGACGAGTCCAGATGCGTCGCTCGAGGCGCTTCGGGCGCTCCTCGCACCCCACTTTGCTTCGATCTTCGTGCTCTCGCTGCCCAAGAACGTAGTGGTGTTTGGGGCCAAGCGCGAGAAGATCGCGGCGCCGCGTGCGCTTGTGAACGACGGCAGCGTCGGGCGTCCACTGGCGTCGACGATCCGAAACCAGTTGTCGGCCAGCGCGTTGCGTCGACTCGTGGAACCCAACGACTTGGGCATTTGAACACGCGTTGTAGTACATCAATAGAAGCGACTCGAGGACGGAAAGAGCCACCGCAATTTGCGCTCCCGAGCCTCCTTGAGCTCGTCAATGCTACGCAGCATCAGCATCATCCTTTCTAGCCCAAGACAGAGGAGGCGTCTCTACCTCAGGCCACTATAGTCCCGTTGTCGCGCCTTCTCGCGAACCACAGGCTCGTCGGCACGCCAATGACCGCGCCTATCGTCTGACTCGAATGCCTCCTGGCGTCGACGACCGTTATAGTCGCCCGGAGGCGGGGACCAAGGCCGACGGAAGCGGTCGCTGTCGTCGTCGTCGTTGGGCGGCAGGAGCGCATCAAAGCGTTGGAGCACGTCCACCGCCTCGTCCCACGGTCGCGGCGCCGGTGGCAACTTTGCATCTCGGCGCGGATCGAGAACGACGGCAGGAACACACACGCCGTCGTCATCGTCCGCCGCCAACTGACAGGACGTCATGCCCATGACGCGCTCCTACGCGCAACCCCTTTCGACGTGTCAGGTGTGTGTGTTGGTGTACTTTGGCCGCGACCAAGTCGTTGGCATCGCTCTCGGCTTGTGCCTTGGCGGCATCCGCCGCCGCCTTGGCTTTAGCCTTCGCGTCTCTCTCCCGAAGCTCGGTCTCGTCGCGGTCGCGCTGCTCTTTCGCATCGCAGTCGAGCCTGCGTCCATCGTGTGGCGTGTGTTCTTCGAGCACAAGCAAGGCGTACCGGTGGCGTAGCGTGTACATGGCAACGCTCAAATCTTCGACAATCGCCCGGCTGTGGAGCGCCAAGCTCGCCCAGTTGCAGCCGTCGTCGTCGTACGCGTGCATCTCGTCGTCGTCGTCGTCATGCTCGTTGTTGTTGTTGTTGTCCATGTCGATGCGACTGTCGTAGCCCTCGTTGTCGCTCGGCGAGTCGGAGCGGCCTTTTGGCGGCGGCGACAACGGTGCGTACGCTGCCTCGATAGCGCGCGTTTGCGCAGCCGCAAAGGCCTTGAGACGTTGCAACTCGTCGAGGACCGACGCCTCCGTGTCGCGTGGGGGCCCCAAGCTCGGCGAAAACGATGGCGGAAACAGCGGCGCCGGTGCCACCTATCCGCCCTGAGCGTCGCCAACTGCAAGCGTCCTAGTACCATGTTGATGCGGGCGAGGATGCCACGCAAGTCGTAGTCGTCGACCATCGCTTGGCTTCGGACAATGTGGTCGAGCTGCGGCGAGGTCGCTGTGGCGGTCTCTGCTGCCTGCACATACATGTCGTCCATTGCATATCCATCGCCTCCTCGCGTCGAGAAGCCACCTTTTCCAAGCGCTCGAGCGTCTCGTGGAGCTCGTGCGCCGAGGCAACAGCGTGGCCTTGAACAATACTCTTCGCTTGGTTGGCCTCGGCGGACGGTGCCTACGCAGTGTGTCGACACCGTCGCGTCATCGCTCATGTCACCTTGGTGGCGGGTGCTGCGTCTGGCTTTGGGTACGCTTTGGCTTTCTTGTTGAGGAGCTCAAAGGCGGCGTCGAGCTCGGTCGCGATCGTGAGCGCCGAGAGAGGCAATGTAGCCTCTGCTTGCGCCTCGGCGGACGGCGCGACCTCGGCCCGACTCTCTTCCCAGCGCTGGAACGATGCGAGCGCCTGGGCCATGTCTCGGTCGATTGCAATGCCCGTGTTGCGAATGACGTCGGCGGTGGATGCCGAGACTTGAATGTCGTTGGCGGCCGGCGGCGGCGACGGTTGCGCCGGCTCGTGGCGCTGTGTCGACTGTTGCTGTTGGAGGAGGAGCATGGCCGCAATGTCGTCCTCAACTGAAATCGTGCGGTGCAGCATGGGTGCATACGATACTGGCGGCGACATTGGCCGACGGACCGCTTCCTTTGTCCGGCCGTGGTGGATGATCGCGTCGAGTTCATGGATGTCTTGGGCGATGATGCCATCGAGCGTCGGACGGCGTGTGGGCGTGCGTCGCGGCGACCGCGCGTGCAGAGGCAGACCGTGGCGGAAGCGGTCGATGAGTCCTTCGACAGACACTTCGCTGCGGTCGCTGCCCGGAGACTCCATGTCCCCGCGATCTTTTCTCGGTATCCGAAACGGGCTTTTGCCGAGCCCGTCGAGCTGGAGGTCTTGCGCCACGACCTGCGCCTCCACCTATGGCGTTCTATGTGCTGCTTCTACTCTACTACTACCGCACTGGCAAACATTTCGCTCCATGGAGGACGAAGCGTGGACCGCAGGGTTAATAGATATAGGAGAGAAAGTAGCCTAGCACTGGGAGTCGCTCGACTACGATGATCGTGACAGAGATGCTGAGCAGCGCGATGCCAGCACCGATCCAGATGCGGTCCTTGTTGGCTTGAAGCTGGAGCTCGGTGAGGAGTTTCCGCGTGCGCGAGAGTTCGGCTTCGAGCTCCGTGTACGTGTCGTTCGACTGCTTGAGGTGCGACTTGCCCTCGACAAGGCGCGCTTGGACGTGCCCGGCGCGGTCCATTTCTTGGCGCAGAATCTGCTGCGTGCGCTTGAGCGACTGGTTCACAGCCACATGCGGCGCCTTCTCCTGGAGCTTGGTCGCGCCCGGCGCCTTGGCCACGAGCCCTTCATGCTCTTTGACCAGTCGCAGCTTGCGCATGCAGGCTGCCCACTGCTTGGCCAAGGCCTCGCCGCGCGCCTTGTGCTGCGTCCACTTGTCCCGCCCGTCAGGGTCCTCGCGGATCTTCTCGGTCAAGCGTTCAATCGCCGTCGCCAGCTGCTCCGTGAGATGATTGCCCTCCTTGATCGAGAGCGCCGCCTGAGCCTCCTTGTCGTGCAGCAGCTGCGTCACGCGCTCGTACACGGACGTCGCTGCCATCGTCGTCGTCGTCCACGCGGCAAGTTCCAATTCGCTGCTTGTTTAAAACAGTTTGTTACACAAATGGTCCAGATAATTGCCGGATTTAAAAAGGCGCGAAACCAGCTTCTCGAATTCTCCACGCAGTTAAGACGTGCCTCAGCACCACCGTACTAGTATGCAAGCACCTGCTGTTTCAGCCGCATCCCGGCGCGTACTGGTTGTCTTCGAGTCTCCCAAAGGGACCACATTCATTCCGATGGATCCCACGACAAGATCCCAAAGCGATCGAGTTAACTGCAAGGAAGGAGATTGCGAGCCGCCAACGAACCAAACAGACGTCTTGTGGCACAAAGAGGTCGCCAACGGCACGCGTCGTAAACAGAGAGTGATGGGTACCTAGAACTCGAACCGTCCACCGCCAATTTCCCTCGGCGCACAATACAACCACGTGATCAAGCGCTAAGAGCTTAGACCGATCGCGTCCGGACCCCTACCCCGTGGTTGAAGCCAGCAATCAATTGATGCTGTGCATAGAAGATTCGCGGGCCCGTGTCTGGGTTCTCGCTGCGTGTGCTTACGCCGGGGCGTGCAGCGTAGTACGGGATCGCGCGAGCAGGACCTAGGGCTCGGCGTCTCGTCGCCGCTAGCGCTGGCCGCGCGCCAGTATTTGGATCGAAAGATCGCTTCTTTTTTCCGGATAAGGCCGCGACCTTATGGAAGCTCGCGCCGCGGGAACTTGTGGCTCCGCCGCGGCGACAGTATCCGGATGCGGGATCGAAAAGCGGCGCAGATTCAACTGCGCGGACTTGTTAGTTTTTGTTTGGTCTTTCTCGGAGAAGCGCAAGATGAGTGGCCAAGCCTCCCCGCGAGCCAAGCCGTGCACCCGGTCACGGTCGGCAACACCTTTGTGAAGCAGTACTACCACCTCCTCACGGAGACGCCGCAGAACCTGCACCGGTTCTACAAGGACATCAGCCGCTTCTCGCATGCGACGGGGTCGCAAATGGAGGAGCCCATCTCGGGCCAAACCGCGATCGGCGAGGCCATTATGGCCAAGAACTATGTGGGCACGCGCGTTGACCTCGACAATGGCTCGATCGACTGCCACGCGAGCTTGAACGGCGGCGTCATTGTCATGGTCACGGGTATCATCAAGCTCAAGAACAGCGCGCCAACGCCGTTTGTGCAAACGTTCTTCTTGGCCGTGCAGCCCAACGGGTACTTTGTCCTGAACGACGTGCTTCGCTTCCTCGAGGTCGCCGCGCCCCGCAACAGCGTGCCCGTCTCGCCCGCGAAGAAGCTCGCGCCGGCCCCGTCGCCGTCCAAGGCGACCCAAACCGTCGTGGCGGCCAAGGAGCAGGCCACGAGCACCGCGACGCACACGCCGGTCAACACGCCGACCCACGCCACGATCCTCAAGTCCCCGAAGGCGCAGCCTGTGGCTTCGCCGCCGCTGCCTGCGAAGACCGCGACGCCGGTGAAGGCGGCCCCGCTCTCCCCGAAGCCCGTGCCTGCCTCGCCTGTGGCCAAGCCCACGTCGCCTGTTGCCAAGCCTGCGACGCCTGTTGCCAAGCCCACGTCGCCTGTAAAGAAGGCTGAAGAAGTGAAGAGCCCGGAATCGCCCAAGGCGTACGTCTCTACCTGGCACATCCTCTATGAACCTGGTACTCATGGTTGTGTTTGGTAGCGAGCGTCAGACGCCGGTCGTGTCGCCCAAGGGTCAGAAGAAGCAGCACACGCCCAAGAACAAGGCCCCCGTCGAGGAAGCTCCCGTGACGCCGTCGCCCAGCGAGCCCAAGAGCTGGGCGTCTCTCTTTGGCGCTTCGGCGGCGGTCAAGGCTGTGAGCTCCCCCGCGCCCGTCGTCGAGTCTCCTCGCAAGAAGCAGCCTGCCGCTTCGTGGACGGCGGACGAGCCTGCCACCGTTGCCGCGCCGACGTCCGCGCCGGCCGCTGGCAAGCCCCGCGTCTACAGCATCTTTATCAAGGACGTCCCGACGCAAGCGACGGAAGCCGAGGTGCGCGAGCTCTTCCGCGGCTTTGGTAAGATCGTGACGGTTACCGTGACGAACCGTGGTATTGCGTTCGTCGACTATGCCGACGCCGAGAGCGTCAAGGCGGCGCTGGCGCACGGCGCCAATTTCGTTCTCCACGACCAAGTGCTCTCGGTCGTCGAGCGCAGTGAGCGCAAGGACGGCGGCGGTCGCGGCGGTGGCCGGGATGGCGGTCGTGGTCGCAGCAACGCCAGCGGTCGTGGCAATGGTCGTGGCGGCAACGGCCCGCGGAAGTCGGACCAGCCCCGCGCCGCGGCGCCCAAGGACGCGAGAAAACCCGCGCCCAAGACCGGCGGTCGTGGTGGCCGTGGCCCTGCACAGACCAACTAGTAGATGGAGTGAAGTTAAGTCGACACAAATAGGATACTAAAGTTATGGGCGTACACACCTCGCCTCAAGCCCCAGACGTGATCCTTGGGTGGCGCCGTCTCTTCCGCTGCTTGGCCAGCCCATGTACCATGGCCACGCATGGCCCATGGCTGCAGGTCGTACGACAGCCCACGCTCCTTGCGCCTGCCATGGTAGTCCTGGTCGCGCGTGTCTCCCGACGCCGAGGCAACGCAACGCTTGTAATACAATAAATTCATGTCTTTCCTCTTGTATTTTGTATGTAGAATAAAAGAATGCAAAAGAATGCCTCAAGGAGCCGCTGTTTCAAAACACTGGATTAAAGTATACGATACAATTCTCGTGTCGCCCAGCGCCATCCTCAAACTCGATACGACCACACAGAAGGAAATCGGCGACGAAAATGGACGGCTCAAGCTTGAGCTCGGTCGCGGCGCGGGCGCAAGCCCACTTGGCGTACGTACATGCCATGGTCATGGCGATGGGCGGCGTGGCCTGCCGATTGCATGGGATCGTCGCGGGCATGGGCTAACGACGGCCATAGGGCAGGAAAGTACGCCGACGCCGTCGAGCTGCTCGGGCAGTTGAGCGCGTACGATGGCAGCGAGAAGAAGGGAACCAAGGAGAAGACGGGACCGATGAAGTCGCGCGTGCAGCACAACTTGGCACTGGCGCAGCTTTTGGCCGGCAAGTCCAAGCCGGCCGAGTTTGAGTCGGCGCTCGCGTCGTTGCTCTCGGAGATGCAAGGCTCGGTATCGCAATTGCAGCACGCAGACTCGATGCTCGGCCTTAGCCTCAAGCTGCGGAAGGAGAAGGACAACTGGGATGACGACTCGGACTATGAGAAGCCGCGCTCGATCGTCTTTAGCGGCGTGAACCTCTCGTTCCAGAGCCTGTCCATGGAGCGCGATGCTACCCTGCTGCGCTACAACCTCGCCGCGTGTTACTTCCGCCAGCAAAAGTACGCGTCCGCGTCCTCGATCCTTGATGCGCTCCTGCGCGCAATGGAGCCGATGGACGAGGTCGTGGCCATGCACATTTGCTTTCTGTACCTGGACGTGCTTTTGCACAGCAGCCGGAGCAGCGCCATGTCCGAGTCGGCGCTCACAAACATGCGCCAGAAGGCGCACGCGCTGCTTGCGTACCTGGAAAGCCCGCACGGCTTCAACGGCCTCGCCGACGACCAAGAGCCGGTCAAGGACGCGGCCGCGAAGGAGCGTAGCCTCGTCGAGTTCAAGTTCCGCTTCCACTTGTACAAGGCCAAGGTGGCGCTTCTGCATGAAAACGCCAAGGTCGCCAAGAAGGAAGTCAAGTCGGCCATGGAGGTGTTCCAGAAGGAAATCAAGCCCAAGGAGCCATCGAATGCGGCCGTGACGACGACGCCGTCCTCGCTCGGCGTCGGCGTCGGCGCCATCTTTGTGCCTGCGCCCGCGGTGCAGAACACGGCGGCGCTCTACCTCAAGGCGCAGCTCGAGTACCTCCGGCGCAACTTTAAAAAATCCATCAAGCTCGTCGCGTCCTGCAAGAAGGGCTCGGTCGATGACGTACGCGCGTCACACTCCTTTATATCGCTCACCGTATACTTGTTTAGTCGATTATGCTCAACAACTTGGGTTGCATCCACGCGCAGCTCGGCCAGCACCAAGCGGCGCAGTCGTACTTTGCCCAGGCGCTGAACGCGACCAAGCGTCGGTCCAAGCCCGAGCCGCTCAGCGTACGACCCCTTCGATTTCTAGTGCGTGGGCTGGACACGACACGGGTAGGCGTCGGTGCAAGCGGAGCTCCTCTACAACAATGGGCTGACGCTGCTGGTCCAAAAGAAGTTTGCGCTCGCGTTCCGCTGCTTCTCGGGCGCGACGCGGCTCTTCTTCAACCGGCCAAAGCTCTGGCTCCGGCTCGGCGAGTGCTGCACGGCGTATGTGGCTGCGTCCCGTGCCGCCGTGCCGCTCGAGTACAAGAACAAGCTCGTCGAAGCCGTCGTCGGGCACGGCCCGCACCGCCGCGTGGTGCTGCCGACAAGCGCGCCAGAGACACCGGCCGCCGACGGTACGGATCCATCGCCCCTCTCTTCCGTTGCGACAGGGTATCGGTGGTGTAGACGCCAACATGACGCTGCCGTACGCGGTCAAATGCTTTCGCAACGCGCTCCTCCTCTGCACGCAGCTGCTCGAAGCCAAGGCGTCGGTAGGCGGAAATGAGTCGGAGATGGAGGCGCCGGCGTGGACCGCCGACGCGCTGGATGCGGTGCGGCAAAAGGCGCTCGTGCACCTTGCGTATGCGTACCTGAGTCTGGCCGAGCCGCAGCTCGCGCTCGCGACGTGCCATGAGCTCCTCTCGGTGCCGACGCTCACCAAGGCGCACCGGTACCTCGGGCGGTCGTACGCGGCCGAGGCGCTGAGTCTCTTGTCGCGCTCGAACGAGGCCGCGCCGCTCCTCAAGACAAACGAAATGGTCGTCTTGGCCGACGAGTATGCGCGCGAGGCCAAGGGGGATGCGGCCTCGGCGCAGGCCGACGTCCACGTGAACAATGCGACTGCGTGCTTGCTCCAGGTAGACGCCATCTATCGATCCATCCTTGCGTCTCGACCGAACTGACATGCGTTGGATGTAGAAAAACATGGCGCTCGCCGAGCAGCATGTGGCGCTGGCCGTGCGAACGTGCCCGACGTCCCGCGTCGCGCTCGAGCAGCTCGTGTACGTGCTCTTAAGGAAAGGCAACAGCAAGAAGGCGCTGCAGATTCTCAAGGAGGCGCGCGTGACCAACTAACTAGCTAGGTGGCTAAGTTGATTAAGAGCAGCAAGAACACGTGAGGTGCAGAGGGATACAGGCGTCGGGTCGACGAGCGTGGGGTCGCGAGCGAAGATCGGGCTTCCAAAATCCAAGTCCGCGTATCCGGACACGTCCTGGAACTTGATTGGATTCGAACAAAATTGAACCAGTTGCAGGCGTCGAGACACCGCATGGGCAGCAGGAGCGCCGAGGCCGACGACGGCGACGACGACGCGCCCGTGGCCATGGAGGACGTCGCCCGCGCCCGCGGCTTTGAGCTCATCGCGCGGTCCGTGTACGTGCCTCCGATGGTGCGCCCGCACGCCGCCGAGACCGACCTCTGCTTTTGCTCGCGGCCCGAGAGCGACGACGACAAGACGTGCTGCGACGAGACGTGCATCAACGTCGCCACGTACACAGAGTGCCCGCGCGGGCGGTGCCCCTCGGGGAGTGCATGCCGCAACCAGCGACTGCAACGTCCCGAGTTTTTTCCAGAGCTCGAGGCCTTCAAGACAGAAAAGAAGGGGTATGGGGTCCGGACGCGCGTCGCGATCCAGCGCAACGACCCGATCGGCGAGTACGTGGGCGAAATCATCGACCAGAAGGAGCTGCAGCGGCGCTGCGCGGGCCTCGGTCGCCACGAGACCAACTTTTACTACATCCAAGTCGAGCCCGGCGTCTTCAATGACGCCCGCCACCGCGGTGGCTTTACGCGCTTTGTCAACCACAGCTGCGACCCGAATTGCAAGGTCGAAAAGTGGATCGTCGATGGCGAAATGCGCTTCCTCGTCTACGCGCTGCGGCCGATTGCACCCATGGAAGAGATCACGTTCGACTACCAATGGCAGGTGATCGGCACCATGCGCATCACGTACAGGACCACGTTGTCGCCGCGTCCTGCTTCAAGATGCGCTTTGGTTGTAGGTGCTACTGCGGCGCGGCGACGTGTTCGGGCTACATTGGCGAAGACGTCGCGCTGCCCGAAGCGCACGGCGTCTTCAAGGAGCCGGTTGACGCCGACCAAGGCTTCCAGCTCGTCCAGCGCAAGATTCGCGTCTTCGAGTCGCATCGCGACGACGCGCCCTTCCGCGTCCTCCGGGTCGTCGAGTACGCGACGTCCTTTGCGTTGCATCTGGTTGACATGGACGACCGATGTAGGTACGACCCCGAGACAGCCCTGCACCACGTGCAAGTCGACGACGCCAGCGCGACGGAAACCATCAATCTATCAACGCTTAAGTATCAAGTGTATCTGGACTTTGAAGGGCTCTCGGACGACGAGATTCAGACGCACATCTTTAGCATCCCCAAGGTCCACCTTGAAATCTACTTTTACCTTGTCGCTAACGACGGTCGGTAGGTCCAGCGACCACCGCCACGACGCCGCACGACGCGCTGGGACGTCAAGACGCCCGTCAACTTTGAAGCGCCGGCCGCGAGTCCGCCGCCCGAGCCACCGTTGGTCGCCAAGGCGTCTCCGCTGACGCACACCAAGCTTCTCGTCAAGAACCTCGACAAGGTCTGCAACGAAGAGTACTTTCGGCGCATGCTGGGCGGTCGCGCGAGCACCCTTGTTTCGTTTGATGCGTTTGAATACGACAGTGCGAGCGGCGCGACGTGGGCGCTCCTCGAGTTCTCGGACGCCAAGGTCTACGATGCGATGCGCGCGCGGCTCGACAACCGGCGGCTCGCGAGCTGCGTCGCACGCGTCACCGATGCGTCCGAGCGCGACGTGCAGCACTACGAGAAGACCAAATTCTTTGGCCGTCCGTCCCGACCTCTGGTGACGCCGCCCGTGTCACCGCCGCCACAGGACGCGCCTCGTCTGAGCTACGCGTTTGGCCGTAATTTGCACTGGTTTGTCAAGGACGTGTCCGACTCGCCGTCGCGTCGGCACGGCATGTCGCCCGCGGTCGAGAGTTCGCTCCGGGACAAGTGCACGTCGATCATCCTCAAGGTCGCCATGAAGTTGCGCTGCGAGCGCGAAGACAACGTGGCGGCCATCGTGCTCTTTTACCGCTACATTAGCATTCAACCCATGAACGCGTCGACGATCGAGTGGGTTGCCGCCGCGTGTCTCCACGTCGTCCTCAAGTGCCACGCGCGCGCGATCGATTGGCAGAAATTCACCTCGTCGATCTACGACGTGCGGTACCCGGGCGCGAGCATCGACGCAGAGGATGCGATGCGCCTCGTGTCGCGCCAGCTCTTGGCGATGGAGAGCGTCGTCCTCGAAGGCGTCCGGTACGACGTGAGCAGCCAGGACCCGTACTCGCTCCTCGACTTTTACATGAAGCGGCGCGGCGTCGCGATCGCGATCGAGGTCCAGAAGGACGCCAAGTACCTCCTCGCCGACTCGCTGTCCCATACGCTGTGGATGCAGTGCTCGATCGAGACGATTGTGCTGGGTGTTCTCTATGTCGTGTCAGCACACGACTCGCTCAAGCGCACGGACGCAGCCGGTGGCGATGGCCATCCGTCCCGCCCCGCGAGCCGGTATCCGGTCGAAGTGCTGCCGGCGGTCGAGCCAAAGTACTTTGGCATGTGGTCGGCCGCGACGCGGACCTTGGCGAAACTGCTGAGCTACAAGTTGTATCGAGACAGCGACGCCGAAATCTATTGGAAGCGGCTGCTGGCGCGCCTCGAGCTCTGGTCCCGCCACACTGACTTTAGCGCCGACGACAAAATGCGAAAGTACCCGCCACTGGATCGGTCGGCGCATTTGCCGGCCGCAGGCATGGTCAAAGAGTCGCCGCGCCTTCTCACGACCGACATGGAGCGCGCCGTCCGCATCCGCAAGCGGTCGTACCTTGCGACCGTGCGTGGGGACGTCGAGTGCGACCTCGCCAACCGCGACGTGTACCTGCAGCCGTGGCCCTACCGCGACCCGACCAAGCTTGTGCACGAAGAGACGGGGATTGTTCAAGTCGCGCTGCAGGTTGGGATGCGACAATTGGCTTGGTGGCGCTCACAAAATGGGACAGGAAATCGCCACCGTCATGAACCTCCACGTGCTCGAACCTACGCTCATTTTCAACCTTCTCGGCCTCGTCTTCCCCGACCCGAAAGCAGCCATCAAGAAGCGCCGCCATGCGCCGAGTTCCGACGCGGAGCTGCTCCGAAGTCTCAGTCCGCCGTCCGCGCCGGACGACACTTCGCTGCCGGTCCCGACGCTGTCCATGGCGCCGCTTGGCTCATGTAGTTCTCTTACATGTAGGTGGGCGCCCACTACTTGGCGTTTGAGCGGCCTCTGCACTTGTACTCGTCGCTGCTGGAAGCCAAGGTCAAGATCCCGTATCCGATCCGAAAGCGCGCGGTCCTCGACCTCTTTCGCAGCGTCGCGCTGTGCCACGACCACAACATCGTCCACCGGTCCATCTCGCCCTCCAACTGTACGATGCTCGTCGGCGCAAACTTTCTCTCCTGATCCGATCCTGGCTAGTATTTGTCTTTAAAGACGGCGTCAAGCTCGGCGGGTTCTACAACGCGCGGCACGTCAACACGAAGGGCGACCTCTCGGGCGGGTATGCGCTCATGGACGGCGAGCACTGCGACCACACGCACGGCACGCTCCTGCACGTCACCGCGCCCGAAGTGCTGCTTGGCGCCAAAGTTTACTCGAAGAAGGCGGATCTCTGGGCCGCGGGCTGCGTCGCGATCAACATCCTCCTCGGCGCGCCGCTCATTTGCGGCAAGGACTGGAAGAAGCAGATCGAGTACATCTTTCGCGTGTGCGGGTCGCCGCCCGACGACTACGCGGATGGCGTCGACGCCGACAAGCTCGCGCAGTGCGCGCCCAAGGACAAGTACGCGGTGCGCATCCGCAAGGCGATCCGCGAACGCGCCCCGAACTTTCCGGACGCGTACCTGCCGATCTTCGAGTCGCTTCTGGACTTGGACCCGAAGCGGCGCATGGCCGCGCGCAAGGTGCTCAAGTCGGACCTCTTTGACGACGTCGACCACCACGTGGACTTTGACGTGTTTGCCAACACGATGGGCAGCTTGCAAGACAAGATGGAAGCGGCGCCGGCCAAGCGCAAGGCCGCAGGTAGCAGCAGCAAGACGCAGACGCCGCCGCGGAAGAAGAAGGCGCGGAGCTAGCCGTTGGCGTATTAACTAGTAGTCTCACTCGTCGTATGACCATTTCGCGCACGAGCCATCGACGGTGGAGCCTCTAAGAACGGAGTCGGGGTGTTGCGATCTTCCCTGACATCCGGTTGAAAAGTTGTATCCGGATATTGAAACCTCGCATGGCGGCGCCGTACGACCCGACGCTGGACGTCACGCCGACCCGTGGTCGACTCAACTCGGTCCATGCGCTTTTGGAGGAGACGAACCTCGCGATGGGCGATGCGCATGTGGACGACGCCTTCTGGACCAAGCTGCAGGCGCACATCCTCGACGAGTCGGACGCTGGCTTGCGCGCGACGCTGGTCGGCCGCCAAGCGCTCGCAGCGTGCTCGCCGCTCTGCGCATCGACGGCGCAAGTCGGGTTTGTCTGCAGCATTGCCGACTCGTTCGAGGGCCCGAATCGGCTCGTCGTGCTGAGCGCCGTCTTTCGTGCGCAGCGGCTCTTCCTCGCCGTCAAGCCCGGGCTCCTCGCCACGCACTTTGAAGTCGACGGGTTTCTGACCAACTTGCGCCAGAGCAAGAACCTCTTTGACGACCGCCAATGGCGCGAAGAGCTCATGGTGCTCATTATCAAGTACCTCATTGAACATGGCCGCCTCGTGGACGCGGCCGCGATCTGCGCCGAGTTCCTCGAAGAAGACGGCGCCGGCATCCAAGCGATTGCCATCGACGGCCTTCTCGATCTCGCATCCCGCAAGCAGCAACTACCCATCTCGCTGATCCAGGCGGCGTGGAACCTCATGCTGCACGCGCCCACCAAGGACGGCCGCGTCGATGGCGTCCGCTTGTTTCGGACCGTCACGCTCCAGCACGGCCGTCCGCAGATGGAGAGACTTTTGCACGGCCTCTCGCTCGCGGCGGCGGACCGTGCGGAGTGCGTCCGCATCGAAGCGGCGCTGAGCTTCCGCTTCGTCTCCGTCGATTCTGTGCCGCAGCTCTTGGCCAAGGCGCAGCTCGACGAGCACAACATGGAGGGGCAGCGCTGGCAGCTCGTCTGCAACGGCGTGCTCTTGTCGCTTCTGGAAGACGTCTCACAAGAGGTACGACCCCTCCGTTATGTTCGGATGTCTCCATCTCGTCCGCCTCATCATGTAGGTGCGCTGCGAAGCGTCGCGGAGTGTCGTGCACGTTTGCAAGGCCAGCTCGTCGCTGCCGCAGGAGGCGCTCGAGCATGCGATCTCGGCCCACGCCGACGCGAGCCATGAAGACAGCGCGCGAAGCACGCAGCTCCAATTCCTCCTCGCGCTCGATGCGCTTCTCGGCGTCTACCACGCGCGCTTTGGCCGCTTCACCGTCTCGACCGAACAGGTACGTACGCCATGTCTCCAATATTAGCTCATGGTCGTCGCAGCTCTCGTTTCTGCTGCGCCACGCGCTGCGCGCTCCGCACGCCCAAGGTGCCGTCGTGCTTCTCTCGGCTCTCACCAAGCTCGCGCTCGAGACACCGTACCATGCGTCGAGCGTCGTGGCCTTTCTTTCGTCGTCGGTGACGCCGCTTTATACGTCAGCGCCACGCTATGTGCAAGCGCAGCTCGAGGCCCATGCGCGCACGATCGGGGCACAGATCGCGGCGCTTTGGACGCATCGCGGGGATGTTCCAGCGTCTCCGCTCCTGCTGGCGCTGGCAACGCCGAGTCCTCGCAGCGCGCCATCGCTGCTCGTCTGCACAGAGACCGTGCCGCTGCGACCGCGGCATCCGTTGGCGTGCTTGCACCAAGCACCAACGTCGGTGGCCCATGCGACCGACCTCCTCCAGCAGGTAATGCGTGCGTCCATCATACATGTCCTCACGAGAAACTAGGCGGCGGCGATCGAGATGCCGAGCGAGTTTGTAATGTCGCGCTACAAAAGCGTCGTGCTTGGACTGCTCGACGGCGTCCTGGAGCTCCGCACCGGCGGCGCGCACTGGCAACGCTTGCTAGAGACCGCTGTCACGTACCTTGCCGTCATGAGCCCGAGCCATCTCGAGCGCACGTCGGTCCTCGATGTACTATGTGATTGCTCAAGACGTTGGACTGAGGCATGCGTTGTAGTTGCTGGCGCTGGTGCGCTGCCACTTTGCGACGAGCCTCGAGGATGCCCGCGCCATGATGGTCGAGTGGCCGCGACTGCGAGAGCTGCCCGCGACGTCGCTGGACGAGCTCCGGACGGCGACAATGGAGCAGCTGCACGCGTGGTGGCCCGTAACGTGGTTCGAGTCGGAGCCGCACTGGACGCGGCATGTGCATGCGACCGTACTCGACGCTTGTCTGCGTTCTTGCTGCTGACGAAGCGCTAGGTCGAGTGGAGCACACCGCACGAGCCGCTGACGACGGTCGCGGGCTGGCCCTGCGACGTGCCACTGGCGATCACAGCGTTCAACGTGACGGACCCGCACAGTCTCGTGCTCAAGGTACCCAGCACCTCATCGTGGTCAGAACTAGACTGTATGCGCTGTGTAGCTCTCTCTGCCGCACCAAGAGCCGCTGCTATTGGAGCTCACGCCGCGCGATTTCAAATGGACACACGCAAGTCTCTGGCGCGCGTCGATCCATGCGTGCTGCGTCCCGATGGCTGTCACCGGGCTCGTGCACCTCGAGGTTGTTCTCTGCATGCGCACTCGTCGCGTCGCGCACATCGAGTCCTTCTTGCAGCCCATTAGCCCTTTGCTCCGCCTGCCTCTCGCTGTCTCGCGGCCAGCGCCGCGCCCGCCGATGCTGGCCGCGCAAGCACCGTACCCGTCGGCGTACGGCCCCCCATAGATGCGACGACTCGAAGCAACTAAGTTGGCTCAATATACCTGCGCTACTGTCGCCAGGTCCGAGCAGTCATCAGGGGTGTGTCGTGATGGAGGTTGATTAGCTTAGCTATATGAAGGAGACCGGTCGCTTGGGACTAGCCCAGAGCATAAGGCCGGGTGGAGACGAGCTATTCAGCCTCTTGGCGCAGGGAGCGAGGTATTGGTTTGTCGTGCTGCCACGAGGTCGCGTGGGCAATTAAAATACAAATGAAAAAATGTGGCAATGGCGGCGCCGCCACTGGTGTATCAAGGCTTTCGTATAGGTCGATCGCTGCGAGCGCGGAAAACAAAGTGGACTTTAATGGACTGTTTAAACTCGACGTTTATATAGAAATGAATGCCGGAGCACAATATCCTGGCAGATGGCGGAATTCAAAATTCTGAATTTGCGACGGACCCGCCGCCAGGTCCTCGTCGGTCGATCCTCCATGATGCAGTCGCAGCTCATGCGGGAGAAGCTGCTTCAGTGGCAGGAGCGAGAGAAGCAATGGCGGGAGCAGAAACACCGGGCCTTGAAGCCAGTAGCCGATATCCCCACCGCGAACGCCGGCCCAGCGCCAAGTGCCGGACCAGCCATGACCATGACGAGCAGCTTCCTCGGAAGAAGCATCGCCAACAAGGAAAACGGTGGTCTCGAGCTTCTAACCTCCAAGAAGCGGCGGCTCACAGCTCTTCTTGGCCCGCCCGCTAGAGCCGAACGCGACCTCCACGAGATGACCATGAAGCGGCCCAAACCCGCCTCGCCCTTCAAGGTACTTGACGTTATCTACGAGGTCTCACATGGAATCTAGAAAGAGGCAACGACGTCGTTCGACATCAAGGTCGAGCGACCAACGGACGACATGGCTTCGTACATGGCCCAGATGCAGGTTGGACCTCGCTATGGCCTGTACGCCGGGCCTTACCGATCATGTTTGCAGGCGCTGACAAACCAGCTTGCGACAGCAGTTGCCCAGGCTACTGCAAGCCCATCTCCGCGGGAACGGGAGCTGCAGCGAGAAGTCGAGACGCTTCGAGCTGCCCACGAGGTGCGAAACACGTGCGACAATGCGCATTCCTCGTCCGACACGACTCATGCGTAGGCTGAACTGGCGCGTCTCGCCGCAACTGCCAAGGTCTTGCACTACCCTTTGACTCTCGCTGCTAATGATGTTGGGTATGGTAGGAACAAGCAGCCGCCATCGCAGCCGTGCAGGAGGTGCGAATCCATCCATGGTCGAGCTACTCGTTGACGCACGCGTCTAGGAAAAGCACGCGCTCCTCCAAGCCAAGTACAAGGTAGTACATACCTCTCTGCCCGCGAATGCATCTCTCATGCGCCTCTTCCTCTGCAGGAGCTGGCTGTCAAACACACTGCGATCAAGGAATTTCTGGACGACGCGCATGGCGATGCTGGCGCGTCCGTGATGCCCATTTTCAATGACTTTGAAGCCAAGCTCTTGGAGGCCGACGGCGACGGCGAGCTTAGCGAGCTCTGCGTCCAGCTCAAGCGCGTACGCAGACTTGTGTATGAACGAGGAGTCTTATCCTCTGGGAGTAGGAGATACGCAAGTGCGTTGTCGTCGCAAAAGCCCGCGAGGAAGACAAGCACGAGCTTCTCTTCTCCAACCAAGTGTACCTGCAGCAGGTAGTGCATCCAGTCGGGACCAGATCTGGCCGCAAGCGACTGTAGATCAACGAGCTCCAGCAAAAGCTGATTGCGACCCAGCGAGAGAACGCGGCTCTCCAGCACAAGGTGCGAAGATTCCTTCTCTCTCCATCATGTCTTCAAAGGACCGTCTTGTAAAGGTCGACGAGAGCGCCAAGAAGAACCAAGAGCTCCTCGACGACGTCGAGCAGCTCAACTCGACGGTCGTGCCCGCCTTGGAGAAGGCGATGATGCAAAACCACGCACTCAAGACGCAGCTGCACGCCCTCAAGACGCACACCTCGTCTTCCCGCTAGACGACTCTTCTCGGATGTAATTCTGTACATGTATCCTGGTACCATTTGACGACCAGCTACTAAGACCTAAACGACTATCAACTCACTTCGGTTGAAGTTCCTGTTGACCCGAGGGAAGGAGCAGCAACACTGGCTCTTCCCGCGGCTTTTCCGGACCCAAGTGGCTACCTGCACGCAACCTTTTCTCGTGGCCGGCGTGTGTCGCGGGATGACGCCGTACATTGCGCGGCAACACGCCATCCAATGCATGCACAGTTGACAAAAGGTCGGCTGCACCTTGCATCGCGCGCTGCCTCGAGGCTGTGGCCGCTGGAAAGCATGGCCCGTGGTAAAGTGGCGTGTTTTTAACCTTATAAGTCGCCATACCTAAGTTGCCCCTATTTATGTTGCATTTAATTAAATTTCCATCGAATGCGTATCCGGATGTCGACGAACTGCTGTAGGCGAGCTCATTTGAGTCGTTCCGTCGCACCCACCATCGGCGCGGGGCCGCCATGTTCACCTTGACGAGCAGCCAAAGCGGCGACGGGCTTCGCCGGCTCTTCCAGCCGCGAGCCTCGGACGCGGGCTGCGAGCAGCACCATGAAGTCTTGCGAACTGTCCAGGCGCAAATGCAGCTGCTGCTGCGACTGCTCCGGCTGCGGCCGCTCTCGCCGGCGCTGGAGTGCCAGCCCGGCTGCGCCGTCACGGTCCATGGCATGGAGTTCTTTAACGAGATCGCGCATGCGGATCCGATGGCGCCGCCCACGTACCAGCAAGTGCTGGCCATCATTGACGAGCTCTTTGACTGCGTCGACCGCATCAACGCCGAGAAGCGCGTCGTCACGGACGCGTCGCTGCTTGAGTGCATCGCCTCTGCGCTTATGGCTGTCGGCTTTGCGATGGCCAACAACATGATCAACGCCCATGTCAACACGCTCCTCCAAGACTCGAAATTCAGCATTGCCGACACGCTTGTCTCGGAGGCACTGTCGACCATGGAGTTTGGCCACCTGCATCCCTCTCATGTGCACCCGCTCGTGCCGTCGAACGGGTCGGTCGCCTTCCACACGGCGACGGCCAGCAAAGCGTCGACGGCGACGTGGCAGTGCACCATCTGCCACCGCGCCGCGATCGTCAAGACGGACGTGGTCTACCGCTGCGCGGGCTGCAACGTCAACTTATGCAAAGAGTGTTTACGCGGATCCCTACCGGCACCAAGACGCTGACGCCGGCTGCGCCGCACCACAAGCGCCGGCTCGTCACCGGGCTCTGGACGCCGACCTTCGAGTCGCTCTGCAGCCGCAACCGCCCGTCAGCCGCGCTTGCGCTCGACACGGCCATGGCCCTCCGGCGGCGCATGACCGAGCTGCCGCTGACGGCCGGCGCGAACATGCTCCCGCTCCTCGAGATGCTTGCCGAGATGCTGTCGTCGCGCACGTTTCGCGACGTGCTGGTGCGCTCGCCGCTCTGGCTGCCCGATATCATTAGCGGCAAGACCATGGAAGTGTCGTCGTTCCTCGGACCGTTCTTCCGGCACTGCAGCCTCCCGGACGACGCGGTGCCCGGCGACCTCCTCTGCGCCCACACGGACCAGACCAAAGCCAAGACCATGGCACGCCTCCGCGAGATCAACGACCGCGTGCAAAAGGCGCTCGTGTCGGTGGTCGACACGTTGCTGTGCCACGGTGGCGTCGTCACCGAGGCCATGCTGTGCTGGCTGGCGTGCGCGATCGAGTCGAATAGCATTCGCCGGCGGCTCGGGCACTCGCCGGTCGAGTGCGCCTCGGACGGCTTTCTCACCAACCTCGCAGCCGTCGCGTTGCACTTTGTGGCTGCAACGAAGCCCTCGGACGTTGATGCGCGGTACCACGGCCACGAGCTCGGCGGGCGCATCTCGATGGCGGACATGGCGCGCCTTGTCAAGACGCCGGCCAAGAATGCCAGCACGGATGCATCGAGTAGTTGTCGGTCGAACGCATCGTCGTATTACCCGACGTACGACGCCAACCTCGGCGTCGTCTGCGACCACTGCCAAGAGAAGGACTTTGTCGGCGTCCGATACAAGTGCGGCTTCTGCGACGACTACGACCTCTGCGGCAACTGCTTTGAGCGCTTTTACGAGCAAAACCACGTGCTCCGACACAGCCCGGACCACGCGTTCATTCGGCTCTCGGTGCCGTTGCCCCAAGTCACGACGTGGCCCTTCCGCAAGTGCGCCGAGCTGCTTGAGGACGACGCGACGACCGACAACGATGATGTCGACGACGGCGCGTACATGACCTGTGACGTCTGCGCTGTCACGATCGCTGAGCGCGGCTTCCAGTGCGGCGCGTGCGACCGGTTTGTGTGCGCCTCCTGCGTCGATGTGGAGGAGCAGCTCGCGCTCTCGCCCGGTCTTTTTGGGGAGGCGAGCTTGAACCCGCACCGGCTGCACGCCCCGGGGCACCACTACTTTGTGCTGCCCGCGACGCTGTGGCGGCACCGCCGACGCGTCCGGTTTGGCGGGGCACTGTACCCGCCGCCCTTTGTCAGCGCCTTTGGCGACGACAACCGAGGGACCGAGTGGTGGTACATGGCGCTCAAGGTGCTGCACGTCGGCCCCGTGCTCTCGATGATGCGGTACGTCTCGGTGCACCGCGAGTACCAGCAGCTCAAAGCGCTCTGCAACATGGAGTCGCGCTCGCGGCAGCAAGGCGCGGCCGGTCGTCGGTCGTCGCGCTCGAGCCACAGCATGAACTTGAACGCTAACCATCTCCGCGTCGAAGAGCTTTTGAAGACCAAGACGGCCATGGAGGTCCAGCTCTTCGCACCGAGCTTGCTCCAAGCGATGTTCGGCTTCTACGCCCGCGTCGCGTCGTGGCTGCTGCACTTGGTCGGCGTCGGCCCGCTCGAGGCCAACGCGGTGTGTCCCCATGATGTCCCTGCGGCGTACGCAGACGTCCCTGAAGCGTTCCTTTGCAACGTGGCCGACGTGGCGTACATCCTCGGAGTCCACCCGTGCGACGGCGTGCAGTGGACCTCGGAGGTTCTGACTCCGCTTCTGACGCTGCTCTTCTTCGTGCTCTCGCACCGGCCGCTGACCAACTCGCCACACGTGCGCGTCCAGCTCATTCGCGCGCTCCTCTCGCTCGCGCCGCTGACCAAGGACAACACGAGCCGCGCGCCGCCGCTCTTGTACGACCTCTTGTCGACGGACCCGTTTTTGGTCGCCCAGGCGGTGCCGTGCCTCCTTTCTTGCCACAGCGACTTGGAGACGTACAGCTCGAGCACGGGCGGGGACACGTCGTGGGGGCTCTTGCCCGCGCGGCTCTCGACGACGCTCCTCCTGCGCTGGCTCTGGAACAACCCGGTGCAGCAACCCATGATTGTTGCGCAACAAGACGCGCACAGCATGGTGCTGCTCTTCTCGGGCGTCCTCAACGACATCACGCGGCTCCTCGACGAAGCCTCGGTCAAGGTCACGGCCATGCGCCGGCTCCAAGAACTGCAAGACTCGCCCCACACGACGACGGGCGCGTACTTTCAGCCGTCGATGATGCAGAGCTACCTCGCCTTGCACTTCAACAAGGCTCGGACGACGTTCCGCGTCCTCATCGAGTGCCTCGAGCTCTTGGCGTGGATGGCATCCGCCCCCGCCCTCCGCGCGGTCCTCTGTCGCCGGTCGCTTGTCGACCAGACCGCAACGACGCTCTGCTTTGTGGTCTCGTCGCTCGAGACGCAGCTGCACCCGACGCGCTGGGGCTTCTCCAGCGAGATCTTCCAGGACGGGATGCTTGCGCTGGCGGAAGCGTTGCTCATCGTGGTGCGTTGCGCAGGGTACCACGCAACGTGTCCGGAAGCGTCGTCGTGGAAGCTCTCCAACTATGCAGGCATCCTCATGGAAGAAAAGATTGGCGACTTGGACGTGCACCAGCGCTGGAAGCTCAGCTCGTGCGTCTTCCGGCTCGAGAAGGAAGCGATGGCGCCGCCCGCGCTGGAGCGCATGCCGTCCGAGGACGACGACGACGATGAAGACGTGACGGACGACAGCGACGATGCGATGGACGAAGACACGGCACTGGCGCGCCTCGAGCTCATGGCTGCCCACCGCCGGCAGCAAGCCGACGACGATCGCGCGCAGAAGCAGCTCTCGCAGCGATTTCTGGCGGCGCTTGCGGCCGACGGACGCTTCGAGTCGGTCCGGTTCCGGCGCGCGGCCGTGCTGCTGCGCAGCGACCCGTCGCTGACCAACATGTGGCGCGAAAAGTTTGTCGAAGTCGTCGACTACACGGAAACGCTGCTGCAGCGCCAGGCAGCCATGGAGACGCAGCTCGGGTCGGTGCCCGACGAATATCTGGATCCGATTCTGCACACGCTGATGCTGCACCCGGTGCAATTGCCGTCCGGTCACATTGTCGACCGGTCGATGATCGAGCGTCATTTGCTCTCGGCGAGTGTCAACCCGTTTAGCCGCGAGCCGTTGACGATGGAGATGCTGCTGCCGTGCACGGAGCTCCAGGCGCAGATCCACCGGTTTGTGCGCCAGAAGCTGTCGCGGCCGATGGCCACCGATGGCACCGACGACGACTGGGGCCTCGGCTGGGACAGCCTGTTTGAGACCGCGCCCTAGTGTTTTATGTATAAGAGGATAGGATACCGAATGCAACGCTGCTTGTAGTATACACCACGTTGTCTTCTTGTCGATCGATGCCCTGGTAGGATGTTGCACTCGTACCAAGAGCGGCTTGGCGTGTTTCAACTTGCTTGGGGGAAAGGCAGTCGCCGTGTATTCACCTTGTCAAGTGATCGAGAGGTGGGCTTAGGACGTTGGAATCCAAACGGCAACGGACGCTACATCTACTGCTACACTACCGCGCGGTCTCGTGACGCCGATCTTCCTGGGACGGGGCGTCGAGTCTTGGGGATTCTTCTTTCGCTGCGTAGAAAACGTCAAGGCCCGTTCATGGCTTGACCTGTGCAGCTATTGTCGCTGGCGACAGCGACTCGGCCTTTCGCGTGTCTGCGTTAATAGCTATCTCTCCCTTCTTTGGCTACTGATGGTCGGATCGAGGACGACAAGCTATCGCATGCCACCGGCAATCACCCGGCCAAGGGTCGTCTTCAAGTCAAGTCCAATACTCCATTTTACTTTCATGCAACTTATTAGACAACACCTGACGGCTTGCGCGACCGACGCGTCGCACGGGGCAGCGCCGGCGAGTAACCCGAGACCAGGTCGAGCTTCAAGTGGTCGGGCACGTGGTACTCGAAGCCGCGGGCGACGAGAACAAAGCCCAGCAAATTGAGGACGACGAGGCCGGCGAGGGTGTAGAAGACAAGCTCGAGCGACCCGTCGTTGAGGTTGGTCGTGACCCAAACCGAAAAGATGCTGTTGACGCCACCGGCAACGACCGACCCGAGCGTCGTCGTGAGGAGGTTGAGAGCTTGGCACACGCTGCGCATGAACTCGCGTGATCCTTGGACCAAAGGCGAGGCTGTCGAGGATCGACGTCTGCCCAAGAGGGCCATACCGACGCGGCAATTGGTAAAGTAAAAGTGTTTGGACGCTATGGCCACAACCCCAGGGCTGGCCTCGACGACGTCGGTCTGGATCCCGTGCACCCGGAACGACACCGGTGCCAAGACCGAGGTGTACGACGACTACCCGATTTGCGAGTGGGACCATGACGTTTGTTTTCCCCCATTTATTTAGATCCAAGCCGCCGCCAGTAGCAAACCAGTACTAGTACGAATTCCCGGTGAAGACCTCGATCGCGTCGGTCTCGGCAGCCATGCGTTCGCGCATTTGTGTGCTGTCAACGTAGTAGCTCGGGTGGCCCACACATTGCCAGACGTAGAGGTATCGGAAAGCCGTGTCTGCAATGATCTCGTGGTGCGCATGGATGGACTTGGCCCGATGGAGGCGGCGATGGAGGTAGACGGCGCTGTCGTGGGGCCGAAGCCGTCGTCGACGCACTCGTTCTTTTAGATGCCGCCGCCAAACGGCCACCCAGTTTATGGGATCATAAGCTTGCCGACGACTCTTGGGTCTGCCGACGACCGGAGGTCCATTTGGCAGCCTTAAAAAGTTCATCGTCGTCTGTTGTTTGTATGGGCGTTGCGTCCTTTGCTTGGTAAATGTACGATGGGATGGATCGATGGTTGGATACTTTTGGATAGTCCGCGGTGCCGCCTTTCCATAGTTTTCAAAACCAAGTTTGAGAAACCGCTGCCGATGACAACGACGCTCCGAGACGCCGCGCACTCGATGCTCGCCAACAAGCGCAAGCGGCTGCTGCTCATGGCACTCATCACACTCTTGGCCGTGTGCATCGTCGTCGCTGCGATCGTCGGCAGCGTGTCGTCGTCGTCGTCAGCGCCGGCGACCAGCACCGTCGCAGCCGACACCGCCGGCGGCGTCGCGCCTACGTACACGGCGCGGCCAGTAGCATCGCCGACTCCGGCAGAGACGACAGCGATAACGACGACGAATGACAACAGCGCAACGGATGAAGAACCCGCTGCGGGTTCGGCGAGCGTCGGTAGTGGCTCGGCGAGCGCCGGTAGCGGCTCGGCCGCTGTTGCGGCGACGACGTCGGCACCGACGACGACATTGGCACCAACGACGGCGCCGCCGCAACCCCGCGTCTGCAGTGCGAGCGACGCGACAACCGCTTGCTACGTGCCTCCAGCGAGCACGGCCTACTGTCGTCTCGACACGGGCCTCGACGCCCGATTGCATTACGTCAACTGCCCCGCGGCCTCGAACGCCAACGCGGGCTTTGCCATGGACGAAGCCTGCGGTAGCGGTATGCGCTGCCCATATGCATGCGCGCTGCCGTTCCTTCCGTCGTCCAACGGCTGGTCGTCGTCCGACTGCCTTCCGTTCACGTCGCTCTGCCCGCCGAGCTCGCCGGCGACCGCGCGCGGTGGTCTCTTCTGTGCCAACGGCACCGTGGTCGTCGACGCGCCGTCGCAGCCACTGTGCGTCTCGGGCCTCAACACGTCATTCGTCAAGAGCTACGTGCCACAGTCGATTGCGACGTGCAAGGTCATAGCGCCCGGCAACGGCGCACCGATGGTTGGCGTCGACACGGCGCCGGGCCATGTATCGCAGCTTGCGTCGCACCCGCAGGTGCATATTCTCAACGGCTCGTTTGGTGCTGATAATACACACTATTGTGTAGTGGTTTTGGCGCGGCGAGCCGGCCAAGTACTACACGTTGCTACCCGGCGTCGCCAGCAGTGTCGGGTGCCAGCGCAACTACGACCGCTTCAGTTTGAACGCGGCGGGGATCGATGCGATGCCGTATACGCTCGGCGGTGGGAGCCTTCCCGGGTCGCCCTGCGCCGAGTGCGCGCAGCATACGCTCAGCTTTGGTGAGCACTTTGACTCGACCAAGCCGTACTCGGCGTTTCCTGGCTACGGCGTCCGCGTCCGCAACTGCAACGACGCCGGCTGCGGTGACGTCCAGTGCGACGCCACGTACGCGCTCAACGCCGCGACGGGGCTCCTCGAAGCCTACTGGGTCAAGTACAATGCCGTGTTTGGTCCGACGTCGGTCGGCTGCATTGCGACGACGGTGCGTCACCACTACTTGGAGACCAAAGGCAAACTCGGAGTGTAGGTCGTCGGCTACGGCTGGGCGCCCACGGACGGTACGGCCAAGTACACGCTCTACGAGTACTACCCTGTGACGATCACGGGCCAGCAAGACGTGGCGTGCACGAATTGCTCGCTGCCGTCGACTTTTGTGCCGTCGGCCTGCAGGGGCCTCCGAGCCAACACCCCACCCCGGTACGAGATTGCACTTGGTGCTTGCCAGTAGTACTCACGCTTGTCAGCAGCTTCGGGACCGGGTACAACCCAGCCGTCTACATCTGCACACCGGTGGGCGCGGCGATTGCACTTCAAAACACCATTTCGTTCTTGAGCGTCAAGCCCACCTTGTCGGACGAGCAGGTCTCGGCCATCGTCATCATCGAGATCACGGCCGCCACGGTCCTCGGCCTCATCGTGGTGGGGCTCGTGGCGCGGGCGCGCTACCTGCAGCTCCACGGCGCCAAGTCACCAGCGGTGCCAAACGCCGACCATCCATGCCCGACGATGGGCGACGACGACACACCCGTGCTGCAGACGCCCGACCGCCGGGGCAGCGCCGTCGCCACGCAGTTCCACGCGCGCGCGAGCATGACAAGCAATGCACCGGGCTTTGCTCTGGAGTAGCCCAACATGTATAAGGATAATGCAAGCAAGAAAAAGTGGGTATGTGTATCTATTTTGCTGGATCTCAGAAGTTTACGCTTCGACCGACTCGTCAGCGGCGTCGTCGTCGGCCGACTCGGGCGGCTCGTTCAGCACGCTGTAGTACTCGGGGTTGGCGTCAACGCAGTCGCGCAAGAGGAGCGTCACACCGCCGCACTTTTCCAAAAAGTCTTCGCCTATACATATGGATATCAGCAAAAGGCGACGACCGCACGGGTTCGAACCCTTGGCCTTGGACTCGTCGAGGCAGGCCTCCCAGGCCGTAAACTGCTTGCCGCACGGACCCGCCTTCATAAACTTGCAAAAGCCGCACTCGGGCTTCTTGATCTCGGTCGCGACGCACGACTCGGTCTCGGCGTCGTAGCCGGTCGAGCTGCACACGACGCCCGAAAGCACGAGCGGCTCGTCGAGCACCGTCATCTTGGCCGACGTCGCCGGGAACGGACTACGCAGATGAGCCGTCTCACAACAACAAGTTCGTCTCGCGTTCGTACCTGTAAAAGGGAAAGAGCTTCGAGTCGAACGCCGCGAGCTCGCCGTCAAAAGCGCCGAGACCGACGTTGATGCCTTCGTCCGTCTCCTCAAGCGTCAGGCTGCCCGTCTTCTGAAGGCGCTCGAAGAGGACGTTGGCGTACGCCTGCGAGTAGCCTTCTTCGCCAGAGTACGAGAGCGTCACGTGGGGGCACTCGACCGCATACTGCACGGCGCCGTGTTCCGTCGAGACCGCGACCACCGCCTACAACATCGATGGTTCCGTTGACCATGCACGCGACGAGAATCATCGATATACCGTCTGCGTATGTTCGTCTTCCGCGAGCGCCTTCACTTCGATCTGTGCCGCATGCAGCAATAAGAATCGAGATGCGGAGGGCGTCGAGGTCGCCTACCTTGACGTTGTGGCCCATGATGGGCGCAAACGTGCTGAGCTCGTCGGCCGTCGGGTTGTACTTCAGCACGACCGTGCTTTGGTCCGGGATCTTGGCATGGACGGCAGCAAAGCGCTCCTCGAGCTGCTTGCGCGACTTGGCGTCGAGGAAGACACCGACAAACTCCATCTTCTTGGCAGGCTTGGCCTCGGCCTCGCACATGGCGACGCTGGTGATGGCCGAGAGGCCAAGGGCCGCAGAGCGCAGCGCTGTCGGGCGGAGCATCGAGCGACGGAAGAAGGACGCCATCGGGTCAAGACGTCGGGTTGCTTCGGAAATGAACCACGCCAATCCAGTGCTTGGAATACCGCATGCAGATTGGTGCAAATTGCTACAAATCTCCCGGATTATACCCAATCAGCGTGCGAATTTACGATCTTCCGAATTCGTAAATTCGAGACGCCATCATCGCAACAACTATCGGCATCGCAGGACATGCCCACGCCCCGAAACGAGCAGCTTCAATATCGCTAACTCACGCTTCTTTTGCAGTGCTTAATTGAGATTGTCTAGCGAAAAGTCTGCACAGAACGACAGCGAGAGCGTCGACGTCAAGTCGATGGTATGTACTTCGGGTCGTGCTGTAGAAGGTGCAGACAAGGGGCAAATGGGGTGCAAAGGCTGAGTACACACAGAGGCTTCGGTTGGGAGCACTGTGCAGACCTCTGTTGGCACCGGACAGCGACTTGTTGCTCATGAGCGTTTCGAGCCAGCACTGGGTGTTGCGGCAGCCGTCGGTCGTCCACCAGCACTCGCAGCACGTGTTCAGTTTAGCTTGGTCCGAGCCAGTCAATCACAGTGCTGTAGAAACGTCGAAAAGTCGACGCACGCGCACACGGTCGAAGTCGGCGTTTCATTGAATGTCGCACCGTGGATGGGGCCATCCTTGTAGCCACCGAATGTTGCAACTTGCCCGTAGTGTCCAAAAGATAAAACTCCAGATCCTCGACGCAAACGATCCACGCCGGGCGTTTGGCTCCGTGGCACAGCCTTTTATCGCCCTCCGTCGTCCAAGACGCCCGTAGAGAGTACGGTCTTTGGATCGTCGATTCCGTGTCTTGAGCGCCTCGACGCGGCCGTCGAGGCCCGCTTGCGCTTCTCGCGGAAGGCAGCGCGCTTTGCCTCTTCGTGCAGCTGCTCGTCGCGCCGGACCTTCCCGATGATCGCGCACACCACGTCTTGTGCTTGTGGATCCGGCTCGTTTGAAACTTGATCTCGAATCTATGTTTTAATTGGCTCAATTCTTGATTCTTTCTAACCAATCACAAGACTTGGTTCACGACATCGTCTTAAACAGTGTGAGCACCATTCAGCACAACGACCAGCAGTGTCCCACAGACGCGCCAGCGCCACGTAGCAGCCGGGTATACCTCTCCACACACTTCTTGAATGATGTAAATGTCGTTTCCAACACTGCACGTAGCGCAATGACGCGCAAATCCATTTTCCATTTTTCGAGGTGGTGGCATAATTGCCCAAATACTTCACGTGATATTGCGGAGTTCCAAAGCTCCAAAGACCGTAACTCTGGCTGCCACAGTTGGCGATGGGTCTCGACCCGGTGTTCGATCAGCTTGTTGGTTGCCGTCGTTGCTTAAGAATTCACCCCAGACTCGAACTGCCGAGCGTCGGTTTTCTGGAAATTCGACATGCAATTTTGGTTGAAATGCGTCGAAATCGCGGAAACCGAGGACGCCGTCTCTATTTGTTTATATTAAAGAGCGTGTTGCGTGTGACCGAGGAAGGTCAAGTGCGCGCGATACCGCCGGTATCGCGCGCCTTGTATCCCATACAGTATTTCTGTATAGCAAAAAATCACACTATATCGAAACTAAGTATGCCGCTGTCACTTTCTCTCGCTACCGAGCTCGTGCGGCGACGTCACATAGCATTTTGGACTCCCCAAAGTGTTGTCTAGAACTCTGACAAGTATGGGCGATTTCATTTTCAAACTTCATTTTGGTCGATCCGCCGGCGCGGCGGGCCTGTGCTCACCAAAATATGGTTATTTATGTTTGTAAATGGCGAACGCCAATAGTAACGGCAGGCGACGGCAGAATGACGACGCCGAGGCTACCGGTACTCGCGCACCACTGACGCTGCTGCATTGTGCTTGAGGAGACTCCATCAGCACTTTCTACGCCATCATGAGATGTCGCTCGGTCGCAATGCAGCGGTTCTCGTCGGTCTCCCTCATTTTCGTCAACGCCGCGACAAACCGTTTCAGCCAATCAGAGCAACAAGACGATTGATTTGTGGCCAATCAGAGCGGGAAGCATTTCGCTTTCGAGTCAATCGCCAGTGTTCTTGCCGCAGTTCTTGAATCGATCATCGCCGCTAGCCAGGCACGTGGAGCCCTGGTCAATATTTTGACACTTTCTCTCGCACGTCGGCCACGGGATCGCCTCTGAGATGCGCTCCTCCAAGCTCCCAAGACCTACGATGACACTGCAAGCGATAAAGCGATATGCCTAGCATCATGACTGCCACGACGTCATGCGCTTGCGTTCAGCGCGTTCAAAACCCTCTGGGCCACACGCAATTTTACAATGCTCTCCACCACGAACACCTGCGCTGCATCGATGCAAGATGGCAAAAATGAAATCCAGGGCAGTGCGATCGCTTATTGGAAAATGCTAGTTTCTGTATTCGTGGTCTTTTGAGCCAAGATTTGGCCAATATATATGGCGTTCAGCGCGTTCAAAACCCTCTGGGCCACACGCAATTTTACAATGCTCTCCACCACGAACACCTGCGCTGCATCGATGCAAGATGGCAAAAATGAAATCCAGGGCAGTGCGATCGCTTATTGGAAAATGCTAGTTTCTGTATTCGTGGTCTTTTGAGCCAAGATTTGGCCGCCATGCTGGGTTGCTGATGAATAAATGGCCGATGGTGACGACGACAGCTTAAGCACTGACGACGTGCGGGCAATTGTAGAACAAAATTTACTAAACTCGTCTAAGTCGGTCCGATATGATGAAAGATTTTGCTCTTGCGCTCATCGCACTGTTGCTACGGCGGCTCTGACGTGTGAGCGCACTCACCGCTTGTCGTGCTCACTCGTTGATATCCGATGCACGCGGGGCCACATCTCCGATGTTCTCAAGCTTCCTAGTATTGTTCCTACGCAAATTCGTCCAGCGATAGAGCCATTTTGTGCGGTCCACAAGACAAAAGACATGCTGGCATTTTAAAGAAGACGACTTGGCGAGTCTATTTACGCTCATTTGAGCCCATGATGGACGATGCCCACTACAGCGTCTTGCAATGCAGCTGCTCGAGAAGCGACTGGACAAAGCCGACGCCGTAGCCGGTCGCGCGCTTGTCGCTGTGCTCGACTGGCGACGCCATGTCAATGTGCATCCACTGGCCGTCGCCGTCGACAAAGTCGGCCATGTGGTTCGCGATGAACTGGCCGCCGCACGAGACGCCGGCGTTGCGCGGGTTGCTCATATAATTCTTCATGTCGGCGACTTGGCTCTTGTACTCGGGGCGGAAAAACTCGGGTACGTACGGCACAGGGTGGACCAGGTCACCCGACGCCTTGCCGGCCGCGACTGCCATCGCCTCGAGGTCGTCCGTGTTGGTGTACAGCGCGCCCATGTGCGACCCCGTCGCAACGCCTTGGGCGCCTGTGAGCGTGGCCATGTCCAGCAACAGCGCTGGGTTCAGGTGCTGGACTGCGTACGCGACACCGTCGGCGAGCACCAAGCGACCTTCGGCGTCCGTGTCGTTGACCTCGACCGTCTTGCCCGAGTAGAACGTGTGCACTTCGTCCGGTCGCGTCGCGTTCGGTCCAATTGCATTCTCGGCGATGCAGAGGACGCAGTGCAGCGGCCGCGTGCGAACGTTGCCCGAGAGCACGGCAGCGTCAAAGGCGCCGAGGAGCCCAGCCGCGCCGCCCATGTCGGCCTTCATGCCCGCCATGTGCCCGCCGACCTTGAGGTCGAGGCCGCCCGTGTCGTACACGAGGCCTTTGCCCACCAGCGCGATGCTGCGCTCGGTGCGGGAGGCGTCCGTCGGGTAGTAGCTCAGCACCGCGAGTGCCGGCGGGTGCAAAGACGCCTTCCCGACGTTGTAGAGCCCGCCAAAGCCGCGGTCGCGCAGCTCGGTGCCTTGGATAAGCGTGAATTCGGCGCCATGGCGGTGGGCCACCGCGCGGGCTTCTTCCACAAACGTCTCGGTCGTGAGCTCGTTGGGCGGCGCGTCGACGAGGCGCTGCGCGAGGTGGATGCCGTCGGCGGTCGCGTTGAGAAAGGCCACATCATTGGCCGAGAGGTCGTGGCTGAAGACCACGTCGACGTCGTCGGCGCGGATCGAGGTGGCGACGCCGTCCGTGATGACGCCGACGCGCGTCGTCGACGTGTGCTTGTACGTCGGTATTGCGCGCGCGACGGCAAAGCCGGCTGTCTTCCACGGCTGCAAATGTGTGTGCGATGGGAGGTCCACGCCCACGAGCGTCCGCCCGGCGTCGGCCAGGTGGGCTTTCACGACGCTCGCGATGGCGTGCGGGCGGGCAAAGGCGTTGTGGCGCGAGATCGCCGTCGGCAGCGTGGCGACGGTGCAGCTCACAATATCATCGTCGTCGCCGAGCGGCAGATAGACGTGTGCCGAGACAGGCGCGTCAGCGGTCGGGCGAAGCTCGTCGATCGTGTGCGCCAAGAGCCGGCGCGCCAGCGGATCCAACGGACGATGCTCGCGCTTGAGCTGCGCGAGGATACGCGAGCCAAGGTCCAGGCCGTTTGTCTCCTTGGTGCCAATGAGGACGACCTTGGGGAGTGCAGTGGCGCGGGCGATCCGGCCGACGTTGGCCAAGTACCGCACCATTCCTCCTGTAAAAATTGAGTTGCGTGGGAATAGACTACGATTCGAGCACATATCTCAGGCATGCAAGTTGCATGTCGGACAATAATGGCACTTGGACTGTGTCATTTCTTGGCCGCCGTCATCGCCATTTAAAAGATATGACCCGCAGGAAGTCAGTCGAACCCAGCTCGACCTGGTGGGTGGTGCTAGTACCTGATGGCCGACCAATGGCAGCCCAGCCGACGCCGTCGCCCATGAGGATCGAGCGTTGCGCACCACGCTGGACAACGCAAGCTGATGAGCTGATGAATCAACATGACGTTCAATTCTGTCTTGGATCATCAAGCGCCGTCTGCAAGGGCCTCTATCGTCTGTGTCGGGATTAGTGCTTGGGTGCTGTTAGCCGCAGGGTCTTTGGCATGGAGGTGTCGATGGCGACGCCACGGCTTGCATCGTCGTCGTCGGGCATCTCGATGCGAGGCGTGAGAACGGTGATGTTGGAGCTCGTTGCGAGCGCGTCGAGAAGCGCCTGCAGACCGTCGCGGCCAAAGGGATTGGCGCTGAGATCCAGCTCGAGGGGCGTTCGCGGGTGAACGTCGCAGAGGACGCGTGCCAGTAGCCGCACGCCGTCGTCATCGATACTGCAACGCCAAAAACTTGCGGTTTGAAGCGCACCCGTGGCGATCCAGCTACGCAGCGCGCAGCCGACGAGCTTGCAGTGGGTGCCAACCATCGCGCAGCCGCTCCAATTGGAGTACTCGAGGTGATCCGCCCGCGCCGTCCAGTCGAGGAGCGTGGCCAAGGTGTTCGCTGAACACGCAATGGCTCGGAACGTCACCGCACGGAGCGTCTTCGTGGTCGGAAGCGGCGCTGCATGGTGGTGGCCACCGAGCGAGACGCCAGAGATGTCGACCACGGTCAGCCGTGTGAACAGCGGCAGTGTCTTGAGAAAACCGGTCATCTCTTCGAGGCAGTGGCTCCGAAATTGAATGGACTGAATCGCAGCGGGGTCCAGAAGCGTCGTCATGTCGCCAAGGATCGGGTAGTGGCAAGCGAAAATCCAAAAGTGCGTGAGGTAGCGCAGAGGCAGACGATTGGCCAAGATGCCACTGATGACGTCGTCGGCGTCATCGAGATGGAGGTGCGTGAGCGTCCGAGTCGTCGCCAGTGCGCGGGCGAGGCCAAGGTCGTCGGTCGACTCAAATGAAGAGAGGCGCAAGCGCTTGGTGTGGGCCGACTCGAGCCACGGGCCCAAGCTCGTTGTCCAATCAAATGGAAGACCATCGACGTTGAAGCTGGTGTTGAGGAGCGTTAGGTCGCTGACGTGATGCGCCGACGTCGTTATGGCAGCGAGCGCCATCCAGTTGCGCGCGAGCGTCACTTTCTGCAGGTTGGTGCACATGCCAAGCAGATCGTAAAAGTCACTTGGGTGCCATGGTGGATCCGAGTACACGAGAGCACCTTGAATGCCCACGGCGCGATAAAAGCACAGAACGGGTCGGTGAAGAACCCAACGGCCTTGTTGCTGGTCGGCCAGCGATCCGTTCTAGAGGTGCCGTCAATGCCAATCGAGGGAAAGAGAGACATGGCCGTCGCTACGAGGTGGATCTCGTCGGCGGCGATCGACAGAAGGTGCACCCGAGGCCAGAGATGGGCCAGCTTGCGATGTGGTTGCGGTGTTGTCAGGAGCACCAGCAGCGCTGATAGCGCTGGTGGTAGCTCCACCGCCGATGCAACGAGCGCTTGAAGAAACGCGAGTACGTCGCTCGGCGAAGCCATGCACTGGACGATCGCCACAAGCACGCCATCCAAGGCGACGACCGTCGGCCCTGCGCGTCCGGTCTCCGGAGCCATTTCGCGTATCCGACATTTGGCATGTTATCCGGATAATCCACGTGGCACACTCATGGAGCGCGAGTGCATCTTGCCCCGATCGACAGCAGTCACCACGCGACCAGAGGGACGACAGCAGCATTCAATCATCGTGTATGTAGTATTCACAGCACTATTACCTCTATCGGGGATACCCAGTGATGGCACCATATTAGAAGGTCGCCGACGCGTTGAGGTCCGTGAAGAGCGCCATGAGCAGCCCGACGCCGTAGCCGGTCGCGCGGTGGTCGTCGTGGGCGACGGGAAAGCCCATGTCGACGTGCATCCACTGGCCGTCGCCGTCGACAAAGTCGGCCATGTGGTTCGCGATGAACTGGCCGCCGCACGAGACGCCGGCGTTGCGCGTGTTGGCCATCAAATTCTTCATGTCGGCCACCGGGCTCTTGTACTCGGGGCGGTAAAACTCGGGCACGTACGGCACCGGGTGCAGAAGGTCACCGGACGTCTTGCCGGCCGCCGACCCAAACGCTTCGATGTCGTCCGTGTTGGCGTACATGGCGCCGATCTTGGCGCCGGTGACGATACCGGCCGCGCCCGTGAGCGTCGCCATATCGAGCAAGAACGCCGGGCTCAAGTGCTTGATGGCGTATGCGACGCCGTCAGCGAGCACCAAGCGGCCTTCCGCGTCCGTGTTGTTGATCTCGACGGTCTTGCCCGAGTACATGGTGTGGATATCGTCCGGTCGCGTCGCGTTCGGGCCAACTGCATTCTCGGCGAGGCAGAGAATGCAGTGCAACGGAAACTCGGTGCCGGCGGCGCCCGACGTGACCGTCGCCAAGAAGGCGCCGAGGAGGCCGGCGGCGCCGCCCATGTCGTCCTTCATGCCGACCATGCCACCCGAGATCTTGAGCGAGAGACCACCGGTATCGTACACGATGCCCTTCCCGACCAGCACGCGCGACGGCTTGGTCT